TTCCTTGCCCACCTTGGCATTAAAATCGCCAAGCACGATTTTGACATCGTGTCGGGGGCAGCGCTCATATGTACGTTCCAAGCGCTCATAGAAGAGATCCTTGGACGCGGTCCGGTATGTCGGTTCCAGGTCTTGGTATGTCGGTTCCAGGCCATAACGCAGAGAAACTCTCACTTGTTTGAAGCATTTTTGTTCCAGCAGATTCTATAACCAGTTAGCGACAATTTTCGAATCGGTATCGGGTTTGTTGACCTATGATATGAAATATTGTTACACCAACAAGTACGATATCGATCCGAAACTTCTCGCTAACTGGTTAGATCTCCCCCCTGAAAAGCTTCTTCATCCGTCAAAACATTTTTCTTGAACCTTGGATCGACTAAGGTTAAAACTGATAAAATAATATTTTTCTGTGGCGATAAGTTCAAGTGTTTTAGCCGATATCATATAAATTAGTAATGAAAGTTTTTTCTAAACCTGAAATGCATATAATGGCAAGGGTTTAATGTAAATAATCGGTATCGGATACCGAAAAGGAAGTATATTGTACCGAAATCTTTTTCAAGTATGGGTACCGAGAATTGGGGACAATTCAGCACATCACTAGTCGCCCTCATTCTCGCCGCTCTCAGTTGTCAACTCTACGATGACGTCACGCTAAAATTACTCTCACGAATTCTGCTGCAATCGGCGCAATCTTGTATTCTATGCGGAAAAAGAGTAACAATGTGTTGGGAGTAGGGTACAATGCAAGGAGTACTTACTGAACGAAATGCGGCAAATACACTTGCGCTGGACGCTAGTATGCACATATGTAGTATAAAGGAAAAAAGATCTAATAAGCTGCTCGTTGATATATGTAAATGCGAACTGTACTGATTGTCAAAAATTATGTGTTTGTTGTATGTACATTTGTTCATGTTTGTCATTGTGCGTGTAATTTTCTAGAGTAGTTTTGTGCTCTCGCTATCTCCTTGTATTAACGAGTCCTTCGTTGGTATACTTTGATGAACATATGTATGTGAGGATGATAGCAAGGCCAACTTATATAAGGTAGTGTTACAGGAGCAGTTGAAATTTTCGCCCGATGTTTCTTAAAGAAAGCCATAAATGTAACGACCGTTGGTTCAACTTGGTGTTGTTTTGCTCTAGATTGCACCGTTTGTGGGCCTGTTGAATGAATTTAGGTCTTGGTTGTATGAAAGATCAAAAAATTTGGATTTTCTGGCAAGTTGTACAACTTATCACTACATTATTGGCCATGTTGTACAAACTCATTTAATTTGCGTTTATTTTGTACACTAAATAGCCGAAAATGGATAACTCAGCCGAAATACATAGGTAAGTGCTTTCGTTGAATTTTATAAATGTAAGCCGAAACTATGAAATTGTAAAAATGAGATTTTACAATGAGACTGCTCGCAAAATTCCAATGTTTGTGGGCAAAACGTCCAACTTGATTGCGGATTGATTTAAACCAACGTTTTCGGCTTGGATTATGTCAAAAGGATGTGTTTGTTGTAATTCATTCTGTCATTTACTACCATTATGCGTAGGCCAATTCAAGGCGTATTTAACAGGTGATAGCAGCACCCTTTTATTTTTCTTCGCCTCACGGCTTCATATGTCAAATGGCTGCTGTTGATTGGTTGGAGCAGTTGATTGTTTATTGTTTTCTGTTCCCTTTCACATCCTTCGTAGGCAATTTTTGACGGTCCTCGCCGCAAAAGCAAAAACAAAATACATGTACATTTTGTTATTGGCGTACCGATACCACCTTATTGAATACGCCTTGGGCCAATTCATGAAATCATTTCATGCGTTTGAGTAGAAACTGAATGAATGAACACCATTTCATGATTACAATTAATGCGAAATAGAGTGTATGCCATTAGTTTTTACTCAGATCGATGAAACGATTTCGGGAATTGGACTACGCATACATGTGATACTTATGCTTTTAATTTATAAGGTAATTTTATGTTTTTATACTCTTGCTACCACATGAATATATGAATTCGTGATAAGAATATATGAATTCGCCTTAAAAGATAGAAAGCGAGTAAGAATAAATGCCGAACAAAGGAATTTGTCTTCTTTCAACTTAAATAAATGCATTTTGCAAACAAAATGCGTACGTTCCTTAGTGCCTTGGTAATGGCGAGTTAGTAAGGATCTATTGATTGCATTATAAACATTTTCATTTATTTGTTAAACATACAATTACTTCCATTACAACCCGGTCCTATGGATGCTAGAAGGGCGAATTCATATAAGGTGGTGTTACCGGAAAATGAATAAATAAATTATATGTATATCAGAAAATTATTAAGATGAAATGTAATTATTGTTTGATTTTTAACCAAACCTATGTATGTAACTCAATCGCCTAATGCTTTGCCGAACCGTAAACATATGTTTACACATCCAATTTCGTGAGTAGGTACCTGGTACTCACACCATTTTTAAGAAGTTTCACTTCTATCATGTGTACGGTGTTACACACGCATTTTTTTGTGTTATAAATATGGAGAATTTGTCCTCCTGGAATGCTAAAAAATTCTGGTCACCTTAATATTTATACGCTTATAACCAACGTTCCATTTCGACTATATAACTTACTTTCAAGCGTTTTATAGACAAAAAAAGTAAGTGCGCCTGGGCCACACTGGAGAAGTGAAACTTACGTTACATATGTACATATCTATTTGTCTCATAACCAATATACATACATACATACATCTGCTTTTGCTTAAACCCAATAAACATTGAGCTTGGTTAACAATTAGAAAATTATTGGAAAACTAAAATTTTTTCAAGTCTCACCATCGATAACGAATGTGGTTAGTATTCGATTCGAGAACTAGGCCATTCTCCAGCAAAACGGAACCTTCGTTATCCAATGAACTTTTCCTTCGTTATGAATTCGAAATCCAGCCCATTATCGAATTGAAATTTTAATGAGAGAGAGTTACCTTATTATATTCCCATTCGAAAATGAGCTGGATTTCACTTCCTCTCTTGTTACTATGGTTTTCATTTTTTTCGAACCCATCTCGAATGTATTTCCAATACACTATGAACGTTGGAAAACTAAGGTTGGTTAAGAGTTCGTTCTCAGTTCGATATTCATATTGGATATCGAAGGTAATTTTCGAACGTTCGCCAAAATGTTTATAGAGAGGTTATATTTTTTGTCCCTACCCTACCCCTGTTCGTTCTAATTACATTTATGTTATTCTGTTTTGCTTTATCTTCGTTTTTATCTTTATACTCTATCGATAACAAAATCGATAGTAACATCCAAAAAAATATCGATAACAAAACCGATAAAAATGTCTATAACAAAACCGATGAAAATTTCGATAGCAAAATCGAGAATAATATTGGTAGCAAAATTTATTAGAAACCCGATGAAAACATCGATAAAATTATCCATAACAAAATCGGTAACAAAATCGATAAAAATATCCATAACTAAATCGATAAATATCGATGTCAAAATCTATAACAAAACCGATTACGAAATCGATAAATATCGATAACAAAATCGATAAATATCGAATAATAAAATCAATAAATATCGATAACAAGATCGATAAATATCGATAAAAAATCTATAAAAATATAGATAACAAAATCGATAAAAATATCCATAACAAAATCGATAAAAATATCCATAACAAAATCGATAAATATCGATAATAAAATCGATAATTAAATCGATAAAGTTCGATAACAAAATCGATAAATATCGATAACAACATCGATAAATATTGATAACAAAATCGATAACAAAATCGATAAATATCGATAAAAATCGATAAATATCGATACCAAAATCGATAAAAGTATCGATAACAAAATCGTTAAAAAGTATCGCTAACAAAATAATTAAGTGATTAAAAAATCGATAAAATAATCGATAACGAAACCGATAAAAATATCGATTATTTTATCGATAAGTCCCGAAAATCCCGAAATTCTCTAAAATCCCAAAATAGTTTCCAGATTGTGTCTCTGTGTCTCTCTCTATATCCTTTCCTCTTTGATTACCTTAATTTTAATCTTTCTTCCCCTATCTTCATCTTTACTTTCATCGGTATCCTCATTCTCCTCCTTTGTCTTTACTTTTATGTTTTATAATTTTCTTCATCTACATATTCCCCTTCACCTTTGCCCTAATATACATATATAAGTAAAGTGTTTAAATTAACCTTGGTCTTCATTTTTGCCTTTATCTTTACGCATCTTTGTTTTTGTTTTTATTTCTACCTTTGCCTTTATCCTTTCCTTTATCTATGTACGTACTCACCTTTACTTTCATTATTGTATTGGTATTTCTAAGTGTTATTCTTTAACCTTTTATTAGCAAATTTTTGTTAAATTAATACCACTTGTTTCAGCCCCAACCATTTCCGTTGCATCATTTGCGTTGCACCATTTCCGTGCGCAATTTCCTTTGAATTTGCCAATTTACTCCCTACCAACCAACCGCCGCTAAAGAAGTTTCACTTCAAAAATCAACGTTTTGTAAGCTTAATGTTTATAATTGTAAACTTAAAAAAAAACTTTATTTAAGTTTTTTTGCTTGTTTGGGGATATATTGCACTCACATAAATGTACAATCATACATGCTTGAGTTTTTTTCCATTCACATTGTCTATGTGAATAACACACTACATATTTTGTGTTTGCAATTTGTAACCAATCTCAAGAGTGCTTGTTAAATTTTTAAAACGAAATTTTTGAAACGAATAAAATGTAAATGCACACTCAATTGATTCCATCATTATACAGCTCTGCTATAGTGTTATTTATTATAGCCAAGTTCTTTGTCGGATAACATAAATGTACTCACACATCTGCTCTTGTCCATTGGTTTTGCGTACATTACACACTTCTTGTCTAGAGCTCCTTGAGTTTCTAGACTCGATCGCGGACATATGTAATCAGCTTTTCGCATTAGCACTTTTCGTACGGTGTTCCGTGCCCTGCCATCTTCCACCCCTTTGTAGCTAAATTTATTCACTGCATCATCAGTTTTTATATTGTTATAAATGTATACGGCCAGCTCATGCTCCATATCAATAATAAATGGTAGGTTATCCTCGTTCTTGGTATCCATTACCTTCGCTATTTTGCTGATTGTGCATACCATGAAATTATCGAAAAAAAACGAAGTGAAACTATATATATATATATATATTTAGGAAATTGCATTTTTTTGTAATACTCTTTTATAAAACTTAGGAAATTATACTGATATAATAATATAATAAAGAATAATTGGGAAAGAAATATAATACAAGTATATAAATGTAAGCTTTGAAATTGGGGTTGCCAGTTTTTTTTGGCGCGAAATCAGTACATTAGACTTTTTCATGCTATAAAAATCAGTACTTTTCAGTACACTTTTATTCCAAGAAGAATTATGAATGTAAGTAGCAGATAATACTTTGAAACGCCAGAGTACTTTTTTTTAATAATATCTTGGTATGGGTAAGGCTTCCTCAAGTGGGCCCCGAATTTACCAATATTATACTATTATTACCAAGAAAAGCAAAACAAAATTTTGTAACGCAAATAATTTCATTGTATAGTTTAATGTTTTTTAAATCTGCACCCAAAAAAATTTCTTCATTCGGACACTTACTTTCAAAGAAAAATAAAAATTTCCAAAACACTGCAAAAGTTTTCAATCCTTACTAATATTTTAAATCCGAAAGTGAGTTCGTTTGTTTGCTACGCTTTCACGCTTTAACTATTTAACCGATCATCATGAAATTTTGTACACCGCTGTTATTTAGCCCAACTTAAAATATAGGATACATTTAATCTCGATTAGGCAAGAGGGCGTGACCCCTCCCAAACAAACGGAATTTTTCATACTGCATTTCTCAGGAAATATTTTTGGTAGATTACTGGAACTTGGTATGGAGATATATAAAATTATTCTCTACTCACATGGATGATGGCTGCCACCTTTTAAAAAAAAACCTAATTGAACTTCAATTAAGGGATTTATTTATTTGAAAATTATATTAAAAAAATGGATGTCAAGAGGCTTAAACAAGCTGTAGTTTAATATATTTTGAAAAGGCTTGCCACCTGTTTGAAAAGTAAAATTAAAATTAATTATACGCGAGCCATCTGAAGAATTAAAATATGGTTGTCAAACAAAATATTGTTAAGTAACCTTTAGTTTTAAAGTTTTCAATAATATTGAAGTCTTTCACAAGGGTTGCCACATTTTAAAAATTCAACTTAATTAGTTTAAATGAAATATTATAATACTAGCAGACCCGGCGAAATTCGTCCTGCACAAAAGCGAACGAAAGCTTTATGTCCGTGATGATTGTGTAACATTTCATAGAACGGTTAATCTCACAACGAAATAAATTTGAAGAACATTTCCTTTTCACTCCCTGGCGGCAACAATGCTCCGGTTCTATAGTAAATCTGTCCAAGTAACTTTATCGTATAGTTGGTGGCAATTTCAAAATGGATGCGTATAATTGTTCTACAGAAATCCAATATACATGGACTTATTTCAGACGAAATACCTCAAAGGTAAGTTTCACGAAAGCAATTTAAGTGAAAATAAATTTTTTTAAATTGAATTTATTACAGTAAAAGGCGTGCGATGGTTTTGGCGGTTGATTTATCGGTGGTGATTTGAGTTTTACCCCTGCACAACTCAACCCTGGTGTCTCCGAATGAAGCTTTAAGGCATAACAATACTACCTAAAATCACACACATTGGGCCAATCGTAACACATAAAAATTCGATATACTCAATGGTGCAACAGGTTCATTTATTCTGACATTCACGGCACCTTTTCTAACTTGGCGATTATTCGAAATCACTCCAGCGCCACGTGGCAGCTCTTTTTTGAAATAGTATTGCCTTTACCGTTACCAATACATATTTTGAATATTAGCCAAAGTGGATCATCAATAAGATTTTCAGTAATAACTTAACTGCAGTGCCTACTGGCGAGTGAATTTGTGAATTTACACTATCCAGAGAGTTACTCAAAAACACTCAAAAAACTTCGTTAAAATCCGTCCGAGAATTTCACTCACAAACACACCTACATATAGCCCGTTTTCTCCATCAGTATAAGATTGATTTCATATATGTATCTCCACACCAATTTCCAGTACTCTACCATGAACATTTCCAGAGATATTCGGTATGAAAAAGTCGGTTTTTATGGGAGGTTCCACGCCCCCTCTATATATCGAACATTTTTTTAGCCTATAATAATCCTTGGGACGTCTGAATCAGGTGTCGGAAATTAAAATAAAAATCGGTTCGGCCGTTCTCGAGCTTTGCGAACACAAAAAAAACGGCTTTCAAAATATATATTGGTACAGATTGGTATGAATCGAAATGGTTTTGAATATGTATCACAATATGAGTGTTAGACGAAAGAGGTTTTAAAAGGTTAAATTCAAACAACTCAATAATTTAAATGAATTATTACAACATGGGAATCAATCAAAATGATTTTAAAAGGGCTTAATTTTAAAACTACGTGTAAAGGGTTTCCATCTGTTTAAAATCTCAATTGAGTTGAAAAAGTATGACAAGTGAGAAGTTTAGGCAAGTTTTAGTTTGAAAATATTGTGAAGATGGGTAAACAAATTTTAAACCTCCTGTTTTTGAATTGAGTTTTCTTGAAATAAATTTTACTCAATATAGCACGCAAAAATTTCATACACTCAGCGAAGCGGGTGAGGGCGATCTAGTTGTTTATAAAAAAACAATTTGGAATTTTGCAACAAAATTTACACAGTGTGTTTTTCGACTAAAAAACTCGGCGCTGCCTGAATATCATTGAAAAATATTAATCTTGGTAAATTCGGGGCCCACTTGAGGAAGTCTTACCCGTTTATAAATAAAATGTTGTTCATAAAAAATAAAAATGGTATTCATTTTAAAATGAGTATACAAATTAACATGTAGTACGAGATACCTTTATAATATTGCAGGAGCCAATAAATTATGTTATATACATATATATTTTTAATAGCAATAATGAGATCATTTCTACTTTCAGTGTTTAAATAGTCAAAGAACTCTAAACATTATACATATTTTAATATTACTTTTAATTTGAAGTTCACTTTCTAAAATTTTAATTAGAAGTCGGTTTCTCTCTTTTCGCCAGGAAGTAAACTTTCTATTTAAATTAGTTCCTCTCAGGTGCTTCGTTTAAACGTGATATGGAAAAAACAAAATTACATATTTATTCAAACTGTGGAAATAGACCTCTATTTAAGGACTGCATCCGTATTTCCTCATGGCTTAAATTATTTTTTCAACTGCGCAAAAACTTTGAAAGACTAAGAATTCTCCAAAAAGAGTATCTAAATTGAATCAGTAAATTGAGAAAAACGAATTGTAAGTTGTAGGCAAAGCCATTCAATTATTCAAATTTGTTGTTTTTAAACTGAAAGTTATTTTCGAGATAACTAACAACACTCGACAAAAAATGTCAGTCCTCTGGTAGATAATGACCCGCAATATGCCCATAAAACGATTGCTCTTTTGTATTAATTTCTTGCGCATATCAAACATTACCTAAAACATGTAAACTTTAATTAAATTATTTTCTTCTTACTTTTTACAGTAAATTTTGAGAAAGTTCCAACGTTATGTAAAAAACTTAAGCAAATCGTAAAGTATTTTTTTGTGTAAAATAATATTACACAAGCAAAATACATGGGCAAAAATTACCGATCACCGAGTTACCGTGTACCAAGCTCGGTGGGAAGAGCTCTATTACAAATTTGATTGCTCAGAATTGAAAAATCAGTACAAATCAAATTTAATAAAATTTAAAAAAATCAGGACATTAGCGTACTGATTGAAGGAATGAATAAAATCAGTACGAAAGTTGAAAAATCAGTACTGTACTGATTAAACCAGTACGTCTGGCAACCGTATTTGAAATCAGCCACGATTTTATTTTGCAATGTTTTATGAAAACTTTTCTTTAAGATCAATGGCACTCATAAATAGTAGAGCTGGAAAAATATCGATGGTCGTGGCCATCGATAGTTTTTATAGTCGATACTCACAACCATCGATAGGATCGAAAATGTCGACACTATTGATAGTTTTGATTAAAAAGGTAAAAAATAAAAACATAACAATTAGTGAAAATGAGATCAGAATTCTAAAAATATGTCGATATTTTTTTTAAGGAACAAAATTTAATCAACGATTCTTGGCTTCAAGCAGCATCTGCATGTATGTATGCAAGTATGAGTGAAAACTATCGATCGTGCTTACAAAACCATAGATGTTTTCGATAGTCAAAAACCATCGATACTAACGATAGTGCCATCGATAGATTTCCAGCTCTAACTGATAGCGTTTGGTAATCACGCCGAAGAATATGGAAGGTTGAACTTTACCAAATGCGTATCCTGTACGGAAACGCACAAGTGGTGAACTGGTTCGTTTCTACAGAAATTAGAACCATGACTAGTAGCAGTAGCAACTGGCGAATTTAACCAGGGTTTGTAGGATGTTTTTCAATGAAATTATGAAATATGGCGTTCTTCAAAAAAATTCTGAAGTAGGGCGTTCTTGAAAAGTTTTCTGAGATAGGGCGTTTTCGCGCTGGCTGCCAAGGTCGATCTTCCACTCAGGTGACGACATAATCTTTTGTGTGCCGTGTGCACTGAATCATCTGAATGATCAGGTACAGATCACTCACTCTACGTTGGTTTTTATATAACAGGGGTGGGCAAGGCCGAGGCCGAAAAAGCCACATGTAAATTCTAAATGCTACAAAGAGCCACAAAAAAAAAACAACAAAAACTAAAATTTTATTTTTAAATAAAATTATTATTAGAAATGAAAAAAATTAATTTTTCTAAAGTACGATCTATCGTACATTATTACAGAAAATTCAAAAGATCTCTTTGGCCAAATTTTCAAAATCTGGTTTTACGTCAGTTAAAGCGGTTCGTAACAGTTCTGTTAAATGTTGGTTAGTCAATAGGTACGTTCGTTTAAATCTCCGGTAAAAAATGTCCAACAGCAAATTCCGGCGATAAGTCATCTGTTCTATCACAAGAGAAAAATATCCAAAATAGTATGGGAACAGAAAATTTGCAGAAA